TCATCACTCCTCATACCGCACTCCTCATCACTCCTCATACCGCACTCCTCATCATTCCTCACACCACACTCCTCATCACTCCTCATACCGCACTCCTCATCACTCCTCACACTGCACTCCTCATCACTCCTCACACCGCACTCCTCACCACTCCTCACACCGCACTCCTCATCACTCCTCACCACTCCTCATACCGCACTCCTCATCACTCCTCATACCGCACTCCTCATCACTCCTCATACCGCACTCCTCATCACTCCTCACACTGCACTCCTCATCACTCCTCATACCGCACTCCTCATCACTCCTCATACCGCACTCCTCATCACTCCTCATACCGCACTCCTCATCACTCCTCATACCGCACTCCTCACCACTCCTCATACCGCACTCCTCATCACTCCTCATACCGCACTCCTCATCACTCCTCATACCGCACTCCTCACCACTCCTCATACCGCACTCCTCATCACTCCTCATACCGCACTCCTCATCACTCCTCATACCGCACTCCTCATCACTCCTCATACCGCACTCCTCATCACTCCTCACACCGCACTCCTCACCACTCCTCATACCGCACTCCTCATCACTCCTCACACCGCACTCCTCACCACTCCTCACACCGCACTCCTCATCACTCCTCACACCGCACTCCTCATCACTCCTCATACCGTACTCCTCATCACTCCTCACACCGCACTCCTCACCACTCCTCACACCGCACTCCTCATCACTCCTCATACCGCACTCCTCATCACTCCTCACCACTAATGCCAGTGTGACACCGCTGGGCCATTCTCATGCTGATTCTCTCTTCCAGGGAGGAAGCCAGTCCACTTCTTCTGCCAAGCGCTGAAACCATCACCTCGCTCGTTAAACAGAGGAAAGGATAGATTACATCTCTTTATTTTTCTAATCCAGTAACAATGACTTGAAGAGGCTTCTGCATTGATATGTTACAATCTGAATTACTCCTGTTCAGTCTTGTATTGATGTAGTTGTGTATAATCTTTGAGAGTTAGATGATGTTGGTCTTGTTGAAATGCTTTTGTCTCGTCTCTGTCGTGTTACTCTTACCTTGTCTGTAAATGTGTGTGTTAGACCTCAGATCTGTTTTCTACACTCTTCATGTGTCCATGAACGAAGAGTGATGCGGTCTGCGTCCCGTAATCCATTAAACACGTTGTGCATGTGCTGAGATCCACAACACAGGACTTCCCAACACAAACGGGCTTGTTCAATGTTTAACTCGATGACTGATTTATGTGGCCTTTGCTTATAGTTTGAGCCTTCATTTTCTGTTCGTCAGGAAGATACAAAAACAGTTTCCAGGTTTAAGTCATATGGAACACCAATATGTATCTCACACGTGATACAATGTGTATGTTATTTTAATTTAACATGCTTTATATTAAAATCAAGTCACATAAAAACTTGTTCAAGGTTTCATGTTTTTCTGCTCATACAGTAACTGTCAGAACTGCTTATTTCTAAAGGGTTGTATATTCATAATCACCTTCTTTTCCTAGCATTACTCTACAACTGCATACGTATTAACGATGACACACAGACACACACACACACAGCTTTACAGATGGTAAATTTAGTGCACAATTGAAGGTGATCATTTTGAAAGACCTTGCGTCGAAGTTTGCCAGAGGCTTGCCTTCTCCGATTGTTTATTTGGTAATCGAGATTGCAGTCTTCTGATACAATGCTGCCTAGATACTGAAAGGATGGCACTATTGGAGGTAGATGTTCAAGAGTACAGGTGCCAGCACACGTCCTTGTCCTCCCCAGTGCCGACTCTAAGAGGCTCTGGCTCTGGCCGGCTGTGCCACACGAGCTGCCATCCCTTCATGCAACTGAGACAGGGTGTTACATAGGGCTGTAGTCAACCAAAGAAATCCTTAGTCGACCAAAGTCTTGTCCTGCACAACGATTAGTCGACTAAAAAAAAAAAAAAAAAAAAAAAAAAAAAAAAAGACGCGATGTTTTGATTGAACATTTTTTAACAATTGTCATAGAGCATTTATAAAACAACAACGAAAAAACATCAAAAATACATAAAACTATAATAATAATACAATTCTTTGAAAATTAAGTGATTTTTTTTTAACTGCAAAAAGTGAGGAGCTCTGTCCTAGGTCTATAGTGACAGTCACAATCGCGCACCTGACCACACCACACGCTACAAAAAATATAACTGCTATCTGCCACAATGAAAAATCCTAACAAAAGCTCTCGTTTATACAGGCTGTATATTCTTCTTTACTTTCAAAGCTATAGGTTAACTTTTGTCCAGCCTATCTAGGCGTTTTAAAACAAACACACACAAAAACCCAAAGAGCCTAAAAAACAATCCTAATAATAGGCTTTATTGTAGGACCGCATATAGGTTTATTTTCGTTTTGTTACATTATTTAGGCTATTTTCAAATGCGTCAAGTGTACAAATAAAAACAAAAACATATCAAGAAAACACAATCTATTGAGTCAGCATGATAAAGCCGTTAAAGGGCCTGCTCACGTCTTTTGCGCGCTCAAGTTCGATTTCAAATGTAGGCGCGCGGTGTGCGCTAATGATGGAAGCAACGGTCGCGGTGCGACGCGCTCTTTTTTTTCCAAGTGCGTCCACGCCGCATCGAGATACAAACATAGTGTATAAAAACATAAAAACCGAAACAAGTAGCGTTCTAACTGAATGAATACAGCTAAACTAGCTATATCCCTTACTGAGCACGAAGCAGCAGCGCAGCCACAGGTGCGAACCGAGTGTTCTATGTGTGTGCGCTAAACTGTGGCGCTGTACAAAATAGCCTAAATTAAAGCATTTAAAGTTGGGGATAAACCATAGGCTAATTATATTTAGAATACAGTAATATTTAACTGCTTATAAAAGGAATAAATATCAAGGAGTAAATCATTGAAAATTTCTAGATTGGTAAAAAAAAAAAATGCAACTGGTCGACCAATAAGAATGTCAGTCGACCAAGACGGCATCGACCGACTAGTCGACTAAACGACTAAAGTTGACAGCCCTAGTGTTACAACACTTTTTTGGACAGCCAAATTTAGTTAAGATGTCCCAGAGCAGCTCTCGATTCACAGTGTTGAATGCTTTGGAGAGATGAAGAGGTTCACAGCATTTTTCTTGAAGCCGTCTCACTGTGAAAACCATGTCCACAACACTGTGACTCTGGCAACGAAAGCTCGGTTCGGTTTTCCACCAGCCTACACAGCAGGATTCTTCCAGGACCTGCGCCAGCTAGCAGCGATACACCGCGACTGTTGCTACGAATAGATTTTTCAGCCTTGCTTTTATCTAAAGTGACAATGTTTGCATCCCTCCATTGTTGAGGGACACACTCCTGTCCCCAGACCTGCAGGACGTACTGCTGAATCCTCCGGGTACACAGGTAGCACCGGAGCTCTGTTGCCGTCATCGCCAGGGGACTTATCATTTCTGAGGGAGATGATCGCTGCTAGCACCTCTAGAACCGTTGGGAGATGCTCAAGGGCTTGGATAGGGGGTCGATAGCTCCTCCAAGGTGGAACGATCAATTGGCGACTGATGGTTAAGGAGGACTTTTACAATTGTGAGTCCATCTACTGCTTTTAAAGGTGTACTAGAACAATTCCCAGGACCTTATATGGTTTTTAAGGAGTTGTAGAAGTTATACATGTCGTTTCTATCAGCATATGATTGAATTTCTTGAGCCTTGATCAACCAGCATGAATTCTGTAGAGTACGTAAAGTTGTCTGTACCTCCTTGTGTGTGTTTGCCATTGCTTGCGCTTAGTTTCCAGCATGGTTATGATGGCATCAGCGTTCTCATCAAACCAGTCCTGATGTTTTCTGGTTTAATAGCCTATAGAGTGGACTGCAGTTTCGTGAAGCATTGAGGCTATGGATGCCCATTTCTGATGTATGGTGTAATCAGAACGCAGGACGGCCTCATCCCTACAGGCCCGGGTCAACAGAACATCGCTAATGTCAGCACGTCTTGCTAAGACATAATCAATCAGGTGCCAGTGTTTAGGTCGTGGATGCATCCAAGATGTTTTACATTTGGTTTTCTGCTGAAACAATGTGTTGGTAATAGTGAGTGTTAGCAGCCTCAGACCCACCACACACACACACACACACACACACACGCTTCAGGATCTCAGTAAAACACGAACAGCTGCAGCACATTATAAAGCCTTCACTTTTGTGTTAATGTTAAGCCGGCTTCACAACAAAATCAACAACAAATACCAGCGTACTGTATGCTAGAATAGTGCGCTAGATATATTGCACTACACACTATGGTATTAGTCATTGGCCGGTTTCTGTGTCAGATAATGCAGGAGTTATAGTGATCTTCAGTCACGTGGGAAATTCTCATATATTTGGATCATATACTGTGGATTTTGATATATAAGTTTTTGTGTGTGTATTCAGTGTTTTCAGAATTCATTATAGTTTAGTCAAACTAATGCTGTCACACTTAATCCATAAATAAAACCCATAAAAACAGAGTAGAACAAAGATGCAGAAAAAGAAAAATAGAAAACAAACTGATAAACATTTGGAAAAAAAACCCCCCTAAATTTATTCTTAAATATTTGTGCATATTACAAAAAAACGTTTGCCAAAATTGGATCCCATTAAACTGAATCATGTGATGTATCAGGGATTGTGGGACTTTAGTATCTAGAACGTACTGCTTTAGTTTTACCACAGATGAGGATACAAATGAAAACTTGAAACTAGATCCTTTCAAATACACAATTACAATCTTTACTTTAGTCGTGACAAATATGGCTCTAACGTAAAACAATAATTAAAAAAACTGTAAAAAATGAAACTTGCAACCAGTTCAGTGAGTTCAGTCTTTGACTCTGAAAGTTTTCGAACGCAGCATGGAGTGTATAACATCATGTACATTCACATGAACGCATGATTTGTATCACTGTAAGTCCCACTGGTTGGCCAGTGATCGGCGCTGCTGATGTCAGGGGAAGCAGAGGCTCATGGGAAGACTGTGGGGATGGGGCACTGCCAGCCCTCTGAAGACTCTTGCACACCGTCCTCCAGATCCAGACCCGTCTCCGTGTGTTTGCCCTGCTGAGACGCCGCCGGCTGCGAGTCCGACTCGGAGTCGTGTTCCAACACCACCTCCACTTCCTGTGGCTTCACTGTCAGGGACGAGACAAGAGTTCACACAACCAGTCCACTGCTGTTCATATTAATCATGCTTACATTTCTGAGCATTCACACCAAGTGCAAACCAGCCGGCGTGTAGTCAGGTGGTTTACACTAGCTCCGCCCCCAGTGTGATTGACAGACAGAACTACAGGAGAAACCTGTCTGATAACAGGATCAGTGTGTGGAGAGAGAGAGAGGAGTGAGAGTGAGAATACAAACTCATTCTTCTCCCTTTTCCCATCGATTATCAGCTCAGAGAGAAGTTTACTTTACTTACAAATGAAGAAAAGATTGTCGGTGTTTAATAGAATGGAAAGGAAATAAGGTGTTTCCCAATAAAGCAGCATCCATTTTTGATTTTAATAAATATAATCATATCATAAGTATCAATAGGTGGAGACAACTAATTTCAGTGTGCAAACAGCATTTGCACTTATTGGTTTTGTCTATAATTTTAACTGCCAACATTTTAAGAATTATATGTAATATTAGTGTATATAATAATATGTAATATTAGTGTATGTAATAATATGTAATATTAGTGTATATAATAATATGTAATATTAGTGTATGTAATAATATGTAATATTACTGTATATAATAATATGTAATATTAGTGGTCCTTGCTGTGAAAATGTCCCTCAGCAGCAATAACTGCAATCACATTTAACTGTGTATTCACATTCATACGGTAAGATCCCTCTCAAGGGAACTCGCGCTGCGTGGGCTTCGCTGAGGGGACGCTTCGCGTGATGATGTCATGAAGCAAATGTGAGATCAGTCCAGTGGTGTGGCGGAGCGTCAGAGGCGGGGACGGACCAGGACACTATAAGCTGCCCAAACACAGCAGATCTGGTGATCTGATACTCTGGTGATCTGATACTCTGGTGATCTGATACTCTGGTGATCTGATGATTTTATAATCTGCTGATGTGGTGATCTGGTGATCTGATGATTTTATAATCTGCTGATGTGGTGATCTGGTGATCTGATACTCTGGTGATCTGATACTCTGGTGATCTGATACTCTGATACTCTGGTGATCTGATACTCTGGTGATCTGATACTCTGGTGATCTGATGATTTTATAATCTGCTGATCTGGTGATCTGATGATTTTATAATCTGCTGATGTGGTGATCTGGTGATCTGATACTCTGGTGATCTGATACTCTGGTGATCTGATACTCTGGTGATCTGATACTCTGGTGATCTGATACTCTGGTGATCTGATACTCTGGTGATCTGATGATTTTATAATCTGCTGATGTGGTGATCTGGTGATCTGATACTCTGGTGATCTGATACTCTGGTGATCTGATACTCTGATACTCTGGTGATCTGATACTCTGGTGATCTGATACTCTGGTGATCTGATACTCTGGTGATCTGATACTCTGGTGATCTGATGATTTTATAATCTGCTGATGTGGTGATCTGGTGATCTGATACTCTGGTGATCTGATACTCTGGTGATCTGATACTCTGGTGATCTGATACTCTGGTGATCTGATACTCTGGTGATCTGATACTCTGGTGATCTGATGATTTTATAATCTGCTGATGTGGTGATCTGGTGATCTGATACTCTGGTGATCTGATACTCTGGTGATCTGGTGATCTGATGATTTTATAATCTGCTGATGTGGTGATCTGGTGATCTGATACTCTGGTGATCTGATACTCTGGTGATCTGATACTCTGGTGATCTGATGATTTTATAATCTGCTGATGTGGTGATCTGGTGATCTGATACTCTGGTGATCTGATGATTTTATAATCTGCTGATGTGGTGATCTGGTGATCTGATACTCTGGTGATCTGATACTCTGGTGATCTGATGATTTTATAATCTGCTGATGTGGTGATTGATGATTTTATAATCTGCTGATGTGGTGATCTGATGATTTTATAATCTGCTGATCTGGTGATCTGCTCCACACGTACCGGAGAGTTTGCTGCAGGACGCCAGATAGCCGTGAGACCTCTTCATGTGCAGCTTCATGTTGCTCTTCTGGGTGAAGCTGATGGTGCAGACCTCACACCTGTAGGGCTTCTCTCCCGTGTGCTTGACCCGGTGCACCTGCAGCGCGCTCTTCTGGTTGAAGGCTTTATCACACAGAGGACACTTGAAGGGCCGCTCACCTGAAACCAAGAGAACGGGCCAGTGAACCTCCACAGAAACCTGACTGTACTCAACATCTCACACAACTGCAAACATGGTCAAGTCTATGACTATGATTTCTACTCATTTCCTTGTTATTCAGAAAAAAACACAACATATTGCACTAAGGGAATTAAAAGGGCAGGCCTTAAAGTAGCCAATGATGTGCTGTTTTTAAATCACATGACATTGGAAAGTCCGTCAAGGACTCTCTCCCTCACACATGTTGAACAGCTGTTGAGGTGCTCCAGAAACTGCTCTAATAACCTCATTTCTAAACATCTTTTCTCAAGGGGGATTTTGGGATTTTAGTATAGTTGTATTTATGTATGTAACAAATTAATTTCTTCTTTTCAGAAAACGAATACAGCAATATTTGACATAAAGGCCAATAGTGCAGAGCCTCCATGTGATGAGTGAGCCGAATGATAGGGATCTATTTATTTTTGGTTTGCATTAGTTCCAAGTATATAAATCTATCAATTTCTAAAGGAAATGTGCAATTAAGTAAAAAAAGAAAATCATAATTATATAGAAAAAACGTATTTTTGAAACTTTTTCCATTGTGCATAGCATTGCCGCATAGCAACATTTCCCTAACAATTCCATTTTTTTCAAAAAATATTTTTGCATTTGTATGATTTGAAGCTATTTCATGTAATAAAAACTGATTTGAAAAAATATTTCATGGTTAAAACAATGCATATACCAGAGGCCGGGTTAATTAATCCATTAAAACTGTGATCACGTGACAGCCCTGCAGGAGAAGGACAGGACAGTGAACCGAGAGAGTGTGTGTGCTCTCCGTTACCTGTGTGTGTGCGGTTGTGTCTCTCTAACTGACTGGGTTTGGCGAAGGCTTTGTCACAGTTGGGGCATTTGAAGACTTTGGGTTTCTGAGCGCTGACTTTGGGTCCCTTCTTATGGACATACTCGTGCTCCTGAAAGAGACATTTAACAGCTCATTACAGCAACAAAGACCCAGAGGATCAGAATGACACTTATAATCCCATCTATAGCAGACTTAGAATTATCTGTGACATGCTGTCGATTAACAGAACAAAATTTGTTTGTAAAAAACAAATGGGAAACAGTAATGTACTGTACTTATAAAGGGAATATGACATGAATTAAGGATTTAGAGGAACATTTGGTCATGGAGTGTCAATATGTGCTGTAAAATAAGAGTTTTTAACAGAGGACATTTTTAAGTGTGAACATTAATATTTTTACATGGGAAAAAGTGATTGTTAAGCAGCCATTATTTGTTTATTCACCCATTGTGCTGCTATGATTTCTATATAATTGAGTAGAATTAAATATAATTTATATGTAAAACATGTTTTTTGACTGTTGAATTTGAAAAAGTAATATCTGTGAATTGTTGATTTCTGTTTGTTGGTTTATGCCACTTTTCTGCATATGAAATAATGTGTCATGTATTGGGGCAGATTGCTGCCATCTGGTGAGAGAAAGAAAAATAACATGACTTGAAAATCATGTTGTGACCATAATAGCCCAGAGATGCATACGGTGCAAAGTTATGCATTTGGATATACACTATGTGGACAAATGAACAAATCATACAAAAGTAATTGAAATAACTCAACACACCAAATGTTTAAGTGGTTTCCCCAAATTCAACTGAAAATGCAACTTTTAATGACTTCTGCAGTCTCAAAAGTATTCAACCCCCTGAATAGAAACCTTCACAACAGCACAAATCTGCAAAACAGGTAATGCCTCACTAATCAAGGGCTTCATTAGTTGCACCAGGTGTGCTTGAGCTAGAACACATGAAATATATGAACTGGCAAGGTTTGTTAAGTCAAAAGAATGGTCCAAAAAGTTAAGAGAAGATATCACGACCTTCACAAACAAGGAACAGGATACAAAAATATAGTGATGGCACTAAATGCTCATAGACACACCGTTGGAAGCATAGTTTGCAAGTTCAAAGTTAAAGGAACAGTGGTTACACCTGGACGGGGCAGAAAAAGGAAGCTACCAACAGATACAATCAGATTTCTGAGAAGGCAGGTTAAGAGAAACGCTCGAGTGACTGCAAAAGACCTGCGGCAAGACTTGGTGGCCACAGGCACTGGGGTTTCAGCTGCACAGTAAGGTGTTGTGGCGAGGGGCGTGGTTCAGCGAGGTCTGTGACGGCAGAGAGAGTCGGCACACAGGCGGGGAGTAAGTAGGTCAAGTACTTTACGCGAAATTTACAAATTGTTGGGCATTAAATCGATTCGCACCAGCGTCTATCCCCCACAAACAGACGGTCTGGTGTAACGATTTAATCACACTTTAAAAACCATGATTTGCAAGTTCGTTCACGAAGATGGCAAAAATTGGGATAAATGGTTGGAACCCCTCTTGTTCGCTGTGCGCGAGCTCCCGCAAGCCTCCACGGGGTTTCCCCCTTCGAGCTTCTTTTGGACGTCAGCCCGAGGGTTTTAGACGTTCTTAAGGAAACTTGGGAGGAAGGACCTTCGGAAAGTCGAAATGAAATTCAGTATGTACTGGACCAACAGTACACCCACTGACGTGTGTGTGTGTGTGTGTGTGTGTGTGTGTGATACCTTGAGGTGTGTGTGGACTGTGGAGCACTGTAAGAGAGTGTGTGCAGACAATACCTTGAAGTGTGTGTGGAGCACTGTAAGAGTGTATTTGAGATACCTTGAGGTGTGTGTGGAGCACTGTAAGAGTGTGTGTGTGTGAGTGTGTGTGTGATACCTTGAGGTGTGTGGCCCGTTTGAAGGCTTTGCTGCAGACTCGACACACGTGGCAGCGCTCCTTCCCGTGCTCCTGTCTGCAGTGTCTCCTGAGAGCGTTGGCCGTCAGCAGAGTCTGACTGCAGTAGAAACACTGGTGCTTCTGCTTTGGCTCGGCCTCCTTCTCCTCCGGCTGCGGATCCAGCATCTGTGTCACAAATCAAACACATCCACATCAGACCCAGTGCAGCACCTGGAAGAATCGGTTTGAACCACACGGGCGAAACACTGTGGTTTAGCACAACTCCTCATCTTAGATTAATAAAGTATTACATGATTGTCTCACAACAAACAAACAACAGTTATTGAGAAATGTGGACATCGGATAACCCATGAAAGATACTCTGATATCTATACATAATTTCAAATCAGCTTTACATATTGGATTATTATATTTGACATTATTACGGTTTTTCGAAAGATTTGAGTAAAGCTTTACTAGTGCATGCCAACCAACCAATGCAACAATCTTTACATGTGGGTAAATAAAATGTTTCATATCTTTGTGACATTTCCCAAACACACTCAAAGTGCTTGACCAATCACAACACACCGCTCCAGCCGACCGATCAGAGCACAGTGTGCTTTTCAGAAGGTGTGTGAAGATAAGCCCGGAGAAAACGGGGCCAAGCTACACCAGCCAAAGAAGAGACAGACAGTCAGCCAATAGCCGCGCCGCTAGGAGTGCTCGCATCTGATAGGCGGAACTCGACCAATGAAACATCAGCTCCGACCCCATCAAACTTTGCATATTCAACACAATGAAAGTGAAGGCTGCTCTGAAACCAGGGCAGACACAACACAATAAGCACTCAACGCATGGAGTAAAACACAGCGTCAACAGCGGTAGCGGTAACAACTGTGTTAACACTAGCAGCAGGTGCCAACGCAAGTGAGGAACAAAGTATACAGAGAGCCAACAGCAAAGCGGTAACAACTGTGTCAAACACTAGAACAGTTCTCAATACATGAGAAAGGAAATTAAGGTGTTCAAAGACCAACCTGCAGCAAAGCATATATCCTGAATAGACATACCTCTATACCAGGCCCATGGAGAGGCAACAGCCCTCGTCGAATGAGCTCTGATGTTACGAGGAAAATCCTTCCCCTGGCACGCGTAAGCCAGCGCGACAGCGTCCACAATCCAGTGAGAAAGTCTCTGTTTTGAGACAGTTCACGTCTTTCCCTTAGTACATCCACCAAAGCACACGAAAAGCTGGTCCAACTGAAGGAAGGCGTCCGCGCAATTCACATACATCCGCAAAGCCATGAAGGGCAAATGGCGCCCTGAGCGTCAGCGTCACGCGAGGATGACGGCTCAGCAGATAAAGCGGGCAGAGAAACGACCTGTGCTTTAAAAGGTGTAGAGAGAGACTTAGGCACGTAGCCCCGTCTCGGCCGGAGAGTAACACTGCAGTCTCCGGGTCCGAAACAGATAATATCACCGTCCATGAGAATGCGTGTAAGGTCCCAATGCGTTTAGCTGAAGCAAGGGCAAGGAGCAGAGACATTTTTAGGAAGTGCTCCTTAACAGCAATCGAAACTATAAATCTTGAGCTACATCCCACTGTGGCACTGAAGGCAGCAGTGAAGGACATAATCTCCTCGCTCCCCTGAGAAATCTGGTCACCAGAGCATGCCTTCCGATCAATAGCCCGTAACCGGGGAACGAAACGAAGCAGTAGCGGCCACGTACCCCTTCAGCGTGGGTGCAAACTCACATTATTTTCCAGTCTGTGCTGTCCAGTCAATCCCGCCATGCAGAGGTGAAGATCAGGCCGAAGATACTGGGCTAAGGCTACACCAATCACAGAGTAGAACAACAGCCAATAGCGTTGTTCCTCTAGGAGTGCTCACAGCTGATAGGCAGGGCCAGACCAATGAGCTGCTCAGCTCAAGTACACCAGAATTTGCATATCAGCTAGAATATCAGGCTGCACTGAATAATACAGGGCAGCACAACAGCAGTAATCACACATAAGCACAGCGTCAACAGCTGCAGCGGTAACAACTGTGCAAACACATAGTCAAGACTCAGGACCAGAAGATAAGTGAGGTTATTTACTCACCGAAAGCACTTGAGACGCCAGGGACGGCACATTCGGCTTGTAAAACCTGGCGAATGTGTTCTGTAAAGATCAGCTGGTTGCAAAACAAACATGCAAAACATACATACTAAGACGCGCTTACCTGGCGATAGACCTCCACGAATAAGCTCACACGTTAAGGGGATGTCTTTCCTTCTGAACGCGCGCATGTGAAGTGCTCGGTTGGGGGTCTCGGGTCCAGTATCAGACGGAGTCCTCCATCCCTCTTGGGCACCCCGATATAGCGGCTTAAAAAAACGCTCTCCTGACACGCTCTATCGCTCCTTTTAAGAGCAGGCTGTGAACTTTCTGTCTCAGAGCAGGGCATTCTATCCCCAGCAGCCAAGGTGAACCGGTGGAATAGCTCTCCATGTGCCTAGGAAATTACACCGCGGCAATATAAGTTCTACCAGAAAGACTCGGGAGAATAAATACTATAACAATAAATACATTTATTGATAGCCCAGCAAGCAATAAAGTTCTTTGGCGTAGGACCCGTCCATAGCTCGCAATCCGAGGGTCAGGACTCTGCATTTCCTGCCTGAAGACGAAGGCAGGGGTGCAGCCGACCCCCTGTGAGGTATAGGAAGGGACCATCCTGGTGGTGGTGGGGAGGATGGAGGGGAAGGGACCATCCTGGTGGTGGTGGGGAGGATGGAGGGGAAGGGACCATCTTGGTGGTGGTGGGGAGGATGGAGGGGAAGGGACCTTCCTGGTGGTGGTGGGGAGGATGGAGGGGAAGGGACCATCCTGGTGGTGGTGGGGAGGATGGAGGGGAAGGGACCATCTTGGTGGTGGTGGGGAGGATGGAGGGGAAGGGACCTTCCTGGTGGTGGTGGGGAGGATGGAGGGGAAGGGACCATCCTGGTGGTGGTGGGGAGGATGGAGGGGAAGGGACCATCTTGGTGGTGGTGGGGGGGATGGAGGGGAAGGGACCATCTTGGTGGTGGTGGTGAGGATGGAGGGGAAGGGACCTTCTTGGTGGTGGTGGGGGGGATGGAGGGGAAGGGACCATCTTGGTGGTGGTGGTGGTGAGGATGGAGGGCACGGCGGGGGATATTGGTGCTCGCGCGTTTTTCCATCGGAAGGCCACTATAGGCACGGACTGCGACTCCACACTGCTCTGGGGCAGGGCGAGGCAGGGCAACTTCGGTACCAAGTAACTGAAATTTTTTAAATGTGAGGCTTTGAGCGCTGTTGAGCAGAATCATAAACACCTCTGAGTGGTAATTGTGTTCACAAGCTCATCGGATATGTCGGTGATTGGCTAAAAGATCAACACACAGGAGCGTTTGAGAGCACACGGAAGTGTTTGAAAGTGTTTTGAAAGCAGGAGCATTTGAAAGCACAAGCAGGACCGGTCCGCTGATAGACACCTGCTTTCAAACGCTCCCGTGTGTATCTGTGTAAGCGCTCGCTGAAGAGCGGCATTGATGTATATTTACAACATGTTTTTGAAGCGCTGCTGATCTGAGCCAGTCTGAGCCCAGGGCTGATGCTCGCGGTCGAGGAGGGACAGTGATGGGGCAACAGATCCTGACCTACACACACACACACACACACAGATCAGCACAGCTATTCCTAAACACAAGAGAAACTCATGATGAGAGTCAAATGTGTGTCAGATCTGGTGTTGTCTGCGCAGCGCCTGAATCCCAACTTTAGAAACAAGGATTCTAACAGTTGAGTTTGATCTTAACTGTGTAAGCGCTCGCTGAAGAGCGTCATTGATGTATATTTACAACATGTTTTTGAAGTGCTGATTATTGTAGCCAATCACAGACATACTATTTGATGAGTGCGTGAACACAATGGCCATTCCGAGGTGTTTACGATTCTACTCAACAGCGCTCAAAGCATCACATTAAAAAAATGTCAGTATCGACTTGGTATTTTTGACAACACTAATCATGTGACTCATAGCCTTCACGCATTTCTGCGCCTCAGAGAAACGCTCAGTAACTGACTCCACGGCGTCACCAAAGAGGTCGGAGGGAGTGATTGCAGCATTTAGGAGCGTCTCGCGGTCCGCGTACTTCAGGTAAGCTAGGGTAACCCACAGGTGCCTGTTAAGGATGGCCTGGGCAAAGCGCTTTGTAAACATGAGCGCGAAGTCCGTTGCCGTGCGCAGGTCTTTCACGGACTGCAGAGCGGATGCCACTTCGCCTGCAGAAGCGTAGGCCTTGTCAGCCAGATGAGCCGGGAACTTGCACGGCTCGGACGTCAAGCTGAGATCCGCGCCCAGAGACGAGAGGACGGGCACAGGTGCGACAGTCTCCTCGAAGGAGGGCATGCACACAGAGCAGTGGGCTTCCGCCCCGAACTCGTGGGAGAAGACCACGACTGGGGACTTTAATCGTTTAAAAAATTGCTTTCCCAATGAGGCTATAAAGAAAATAGTGGAGAGTACTGCTCGTGGACATCGTGGAAGAATGGAGTCCTCCTCGAAGCAGCCTAGCGGCGGCCCGACTGAAGATACCTAGGGTTCCAACTTACTCTTGTTCTTGTAGGCTCGTCCGGAGCATCCACGTCCACGTCGAGTCCAGCGCGTCCCTGGAAAGGGCCGGTGGAACGTGGCGACGGCAAAGGACATCGGCCCCGGGCCTCGTCGTCACCGTCGCTTCTGGGTGGGGGAGGGTGGGCCTCGACCCCGTAATAGCGTGAGCAAAAACCCTTCTGGTTCTCAAGTGCGCACCGGCAGGTCGGCGCAGAACTCGTAGGTGTCGGGCGGGTCGACGGGGCCCGCACAAATCCTGCAACGGGTAGCCATCGGATACGAGGAAGAAAAGGTAACTAGTCCTCAGGTGCAACTTCAACGATGACAGCGTGAATAAAGAGATTCTGACAGAATTGTCACGCCTATTGATTTTGTACTGCCCGCGAGCCTGTCAGTATTTGCATACTTCGCGACAGTTGGCCAGCTGTTCCAAGCTGGCTATAAGACTTCAACAAAAGTGGAGAAGTGAGGAGTTCCCGAAGCATCATAGCTGACGCAATGTTAAAGTTAACGCTCTCGACAGGGAACCCTTTTCTAGAAGAGACCAAACACAACATCACGACTGGCGTAAAAGAGCATAATAGGTCCTCTTTAATAAAACGATCATGTTGTCAAAAATCACAAATCTTTTATTTATCTATTAGCATTAAATTCTGAAAGCATTATTCACCTGTGTGCTGAGGTTGAGCGAGACCGTATCCAAGATCTGTGTGTCGGACAGAGTCAGAGTCACGCTGCCGTCGCTGGCCACGCCCCCTGATGACATCAGAGTCACGCTGCCGTCGCTGGCCACGCCCCCTGATGACATCACCAGGCTCTGCGAGGACAGGGAGGTGCTGGGAGCCAGAGCACTGACTGATGGGAGAATACACACACTTACTGAGTAAACATTCGTCTATCGTAACTCTATCGCCCCGTACTTCTGTTATCCTCAAAGAAATCATGTACAACAGGCCTGTCAAAACCAATCAGCACTTTTCTCATCAGTCCGAGCAGAGATTGAGTTTGACAGGCCTGTTGTACGTGATTAACTGTAGTACGTCAGTGTGTGTCTGGTAAGCGATCTCTCACCGGTGAGGGCCGAGGGAGGAGGACTCTGAGGAAGGAGCTGATCGCTGGTGATCTGAGCCAGTCTGAGCCCAGGGCTGATGCTCGCGGTCGAGGAGGGGCAGTGATGGGGCAACAGGTCCTGACCTACACACACACACACACACACACACACACACAGATCAGCACATCAGTGTGTGTGTGTGTGTGTGTGCACCTGCTATAGTGAGTGTGATCTCAGATGTGCTGGTGGCAGCAGTGTGTGTGTTCACCTCCTATAGTGAGTGTGATCTCAGATGTGCTGGTGCCAGTGGATGATGAACTGGTCTGTAACGCTTGAGTCAGACTGGAGTTGTTGATGGTCAGAGTGATTTCTGGAGCTCTGCTGCTGGACACTTGAGAACCTGACACACACACACACACACACACACACACATCCACACACGCGCACACGCACGCACAGGCACGCACACGCACGCACACACACACACACACAGTTAAGTTATGTTCAATACTGCATAAACAACTTAAAACAGCAATAAAATGGCTGGTGTGTGTGTGCACTGACCGCTGGTGTCGTCGCTGCTCAGGCTGATGGCGTGTGAGGTGTGTGTGAGGTGTGTGTGAGAGACACTGACCGCTGGTGTCGTCGCTGCTCAGGCTGATGGTGTGTGAGGTGTGTGTGCACTGACCGGTGGTGTCGTCGCTGCTCAGGCTGATGGTGTGTGAGGTGTGTGTGTGTGTGAGGTGTGTGTGCACTCACCGCTGGTGTCGTCGCTGCTCAGGCTGATGGCCGAGGCGGGCGGCTGCAGAGAGAGACCCGTCAGAGGGTGGATCACCACACTGGCAGGAACACTGGCGTCTCCGTCCGTCATGAGGTGAGCCGTGGCGTGCGGCACCAGACTCGAGTCGCCTGTCAGAGAGTGAGACAGCAAACTGCCCTGGTGGAGCGTCTGCTGCAGGATACTGGGGTCGATCTGAGCACAGAGGAAACCGCATCATAGGGGCGGCACAACACATCGCAACACAAAAATGCAACATGTATCGTGGATAATTGTGGATAAGTCCATCCTATTCATTTACACACACAATGTAAAACCAAATTTAGCATTTTAATCAACAGGACATTTTTGGTTGACCTTTAATCATGTATCTTGGAGTATCACAATCATATCATATGGTGATATGTATTGAATCGTGACCTGAGTGTATCGTTGCACCCCTACAGCATCACACACCCCTACAGCATCACACACCCCTACAGCATCACACACCCCTACAGCATCACACACACCTACAGCATCACACACCCCTACAGCATCACACACACCTACAGCACCACACACCCCTACAGCATCACACAGCCCTACAGCATCACACACCCCTACAGCATCACACACACCTACAGCATCACACACACCTACAGCACCACACACCCCTACAGTATCACACACCCCTACAGCATCACACACCCCTACAGCACCACACACCCCTACAGCATCACACACCCCTACAGCATCACACACCCCTACAGCATCACACACACCTACAGCATCACACACCCCTACAGCACCACACACCCCTACAGCATCACACACACCTACAGCATCACACACCCCTACAGCATCACACACACCTACAGCATCACACACCCCTACAGCATCACACACACCTACAGCACCACACACCCCTACAGCATCACACACCCCTACAGCATCACACAGACCTACAGCATCACACACACCTACAGCATCACACACCCCTACAGCATCACACACACCTACAGCATCACACACCCCTACAGCATCACACACCCCTACAGCATCACACACACCTACAGCACCACACACCCCTACAGCATCACACACCCCTACAGCATCACACAGACCTACAGCATCACACAGACCTACAGCATCACACACCCCTACAGCATCACACACACCTACAGCATCACACACCCCTACAGCATCACACACACCTACAGCATCACACACACCTACAGCACCACACACACCTACAGCATCACACACCCCTACAGCATCACACACACCTACAGCATCACACACCCCTACAGCATCACACAGACCTACAGCATCACACACCCCTACAGCATCACACACCCCTACACCATCACACACCCCTACAGCATCCCACACCCCTACAGCATCCCACACCCCTACAGCATCACACACCCCTACAGCATCACACACCCCTACAGCATCACACACACCTACAGCATCACACACCCCTACAGCACCACACACCCCTACAGCATCACACACACCTACAGCATCACACACCCCTACAGCATCACACACACCTACAGCATCACACACCCCTACAGCATCACACACCCCTACAGCATCACACACCCCTACAGCATCACACACCCCTACAGCATCACACACCCCTACAGCATCACACACCCCTACAGCATCACACACCCCTACAGCATCCCACACCCCTACAGCATCCCACACCCCTACAGCATCACACACCCCTACAGCATCACACACCCCTACAGCATCACACACACCTACAGCATCACACACCCCTACAGCACCACACACCCCTACAGCATCACACACACCTACAGCATCACACACCCCTACAGCATCACACACACCTACAGCATCACACACCCCTACAGCATCACACACCCCTACAGCATCACACACCCCTACAGCATCACACACCCCTACAGCATCACACACACCTACAGCACCACACACCCCTACAGCATCACACACCCCTACAGCATCACACACACCTACAGCATCACACACCCCTACAGCATCACACACACCTACAGCATCACACACCCCTACAACACCACACACCCCTACAGCATCACACACACCTACAGCATCACACACACCCACAGCACCACACACCCCTACAGCATCACACACCCCTACAGCACCACACACCCCTACAGCATCACACACACCTACAGCATCACACACACCCACAGCACCACACAGCCCTACAGCATCACACACCCCTACAGCACCACACAGCCCTACAGCACCACACACCGCTACAGCACCACACAGCCCTACAGCACCACACACCCCTACAGCACCACACACCGCTACAGCACCACACACCCCTACAGCATCACACACACCTACAGCATCACACACACCCACAGCACCACACAGCCCTACAGCATCACACAGCCCTACAGCACCACACACCGCTACAGCACCACACACCCCTACAGCATCACACACACCTACAGCATCACACACACCCACAGCACCACACAGCCCTACAGCATCACACACCCCTACAGCATCACACACCCCTACAGCATCACACACCCCTACAGCATCACACACCCCTACAGCATCACACACCCCTACAGCATCACACACCCCTACACCCCTACAGCATCACACACCCCTACAGCATCACACACCCCTACAGCATCACACACCCCTACAGCACCACACACCCCTACAGCATCACACACCCCTACAGCACCACACACCCCTACAGCACCACACACCCCTACACCCGTACAGCATCACACACCCCTACAGCATCACACACCCCTACACCATCACACACCCCTACAGCATCACACACCCTACAGCATCACACACCCTACAGCACCACACACCCCTACAGCATCACACACCCTACAGCACCACACACACATACAGCACCACACACCCCTACAGCACCACGCACCCCTACAGCATCACACACACCTACAGCATCACACACCCCTACAGCATCACGCATCACACACCCCTACAGCGTCACACACCCTACAGCATCACACACACATACAGCACCACACACCCCTACAACATCACACACCCCTACAGCACCACACACCCCTACAGCATCACACACCCCTACACCCCTAAAGCATCACACACCCCTACACCCCTACACCCCTACAGCACCACTCACCCCTACAGCATCACACACCCCTACAGCACCACACACACCTACAGCATCACACACACCTACAGCATCACACACCCTACAGCATCACACACACCTACAGCATCACACACACCCACAGCACCACACACCCCTACAGCATCACACACCCCTACAGCATCACACACCCCTACAGCACCACACACCCCTACAGCATCACACACACCTACAGCACCACACACCCCTACAGCATCACACACCCCTACAGCATCACACACACCTACAGCATCACACACCCCTACAGCATCACACACCCCTACAGCATCACACACCCCTACAGCATCACACACCCCTACAGCATCACACACCCCTACAGCATCACACACACCTACAGCACCACACACCCCTACAGCATCACACACCCCTACAGCATCACACACCCCTACAGCATCACACAGACCTACAGCATCACACACCCCTACAGCATCACACACACCTACAGCATCACACACCCCTACAGCATCACACACCCCTACAGCATCACACACCCCTACAGCATCACACACCCCTACAGCATCACACACCCCTACAGCATCACACACACCTACAACATCACACACCCCTACAGCATCACACACCCCTACAGCATCACACACACCCTACAGCATCACACACACCTACAGCATCACACACCCCATAGCATCACACACACCTACAGCACCACACACCCCTACAGCATCACACACCCCTACAGCATCACACACCCCTACAGCATCACACAGACCTACAGCATCACACACCCCTACAGCATCACACACACCTACAGCATCACACACCCCTACAGCATCCCACACCCCTACAGCATCACGCATCACACACCCCTACAGCATCACACACACCTACAGCATCACACACCCCTACAGCATCACACACCCCTACAGCATCACACACCTACAGCATCACACACCCCTACAGCATCACACACACCTACAGCATCACACACACCTACAGCATCACACACCCCTACAGCATCACACACCCCTACAGCATCACACACCCTACAGCATCACACACACCTACAGCATCACACACACCTACAGCATCACACACACCTACAGCATCACACACCCCTACAGCATCACACACCCCTACAGCATCACACACCCTACAGCATCACACACACCTACACACGATCCGTTCAGCACAGAGTCTCTCGGGTCGAGCCGTACCTGCAGAGTGATGTTGTTGATGTTGCTGGGGTCAATCCCAGAGATCTGCACATTCGGACACACCAGGTGAATCCCTTCGAGAGTAGCGAGACCGTCCGTCAGAGAGACCGTCAGATCTCCACCCGCTGGAGGAGGAAAGAGGACAGTCATGCACTCATCCGCCTCATGAGGTCCGCTCGTGCCAAACAACATCCAACATGTGGAGAGTTCCAGGAGAAGTCTGAAATCTGCTGGTCTAGAAAAATGGTTCTCGCCCTTTCCGAGACCAGTCCCATATTACTCACATGATCTCAGTCTCACATTAAGGGCCCCATCATGCACCCGCCAGGAGCCACGCCAGTGTGTTTGGCTAGTTTCAGCCCCAACATGTCCTGCGCAACGTTGTTTAAATAGCAAATACATTTGCGCCCATGATGGTCTGAAAACCAGGTGTGCTCAGGCGCATTGTTGACGCGTTGCTATTTTGAGGAACTGAAATAGTCATTGACCAACTGAAACCTGGTCTAAAGTCAATTATAACTTTGTTATAAGCGACACACCCCCTTTTTTTGCATATACATGAAAATGCACATTCCGAATTTAAATGGTTGTAATTCAAGAATGCTTTGGACTTTAGACGTGGATTGGTATATAGATTGGTCTTGTCTTAAAGAAGACATTTAGCAGATTTTTGTAGAAGTGAAATAAATTGAGAAAGTGAAACAGAAAAAAGTTATAGAAGTTTGAGTGTATGAAAATGTACAATGTAAAAATTGAATAATTCATATTTGATATAAAATATATATTTTCAAAACATGTTGAACTCTAAAACTGCAAGAAAAAAATCTGAACAAGTTGTGTTCCAAATCTTAGGTTGATATCTCCAAAAATGAGCTTTCAGTGAGATTGTGTTTGCAAACGCTTGTGTTTGCATGTGTGTATTGTGTAGTCATCAGTACCTGAGACAGTAGCAGGCAGTGTTTGCATGTGTGTATTGTGTAGTCATCAGTCCCTGAGACAGTAGCAGGCAGTGTTTGCATGTGTGTATTGTGTAGTCATCAGTACCTGAGACAGTAGCAGGCAGTGTTTGCATGTGTGTATTGTGTAGTCATCAGTACCTGAGACAGTAGCAGGCAGTATGGCTTGTCCCACCAGGCCTTGCTGCAGCAGACTGGGCTCATACTGGCCCGTGAGCACTGGGTTCGCTGGGATGTAGATGTTGGGATCTGAGCTGGTGGTGTGCAGTAGAGTCTGGGCCTCCTGAGCCTGAGGGGCGCACTGGTCCTGCGGGGGTCTCTCGGCGCCGGCGCTCCGCTTGGCCTTGCGGTCCGAGGGCCTGATGTGACCCTGGATGTGGGTCTTGCGGTGGCCAGACGTGCGGAAGCGCAGCTCACAGAACGGGCACTTGAAGGGTTTGGAGCCGGTGTGCAAACGCATGTGGACCTTCAGACTGCCCTTGGTGGAGAACGACGTGTTGCACATGTGACAGCTGAACAGCTTCTGCCCTGCACACACACACACACACACATCGGACTTTAAAGAGGCGGGAATAAAACAAGGCTGTTGCTGGAGCAGATTTGTAAATTTTCTGAAGAAGTTTTAAGTGGTGCTTAGTTGTGCAAAAAATTAGTGCCATGGTGTTTGAGTGGTTTCTGGGTATTGCTGTTTATGAAGTGGTTCTGAGTGGTACATTGCTACGCAGTTGCTATGGTGTTCTGGATGGCATCTACAGTAGGTAGTCTCTGTCTTCCTTTAACACGTTATAACACCGTGTCCTAACCAGACGTGATGCCGTGACACAAGAAAACAAAAACGTTCAATGTAAACAAGAACGTGGCTGTGGTTTTTGACTGATTTGATTAAGAGTGCAGTGTGCCTGCAGAAAGACTCCGCCCACACGCTCTTCTGATTGGCTGTGGTTTTTGACTGATTTGATTAAGAGTGCAGTGTGCCTGCAGAAAGACTCCGCCCACACGCTCTTCTGATTGGCTGTGGTTTTTGACTGATTTGATTAAGAGTGCAGTGTGCCTGCAGAAAGACTCCGCCCACACGCTCTTCTGATTGGCTGTGGTTTTTGACTGATTTGATTAAGAGTGCAGTGTGCCTGCAGAAAGACTCCGCCCACACGCTCTTCTGATTGGCTGTGGTTTTTGACTGATTTGATTAAGAGTGCAGTGTGCCTGCAGAAAGACTCCGCCCACACGCTCTTCTGATTGGCTGTGGTTTTAGACTGATTTGATTAAGAGTGCAGTGTGCCTGCAGAAAGACTCCGCCCACACGCTCTTCTGATTGGCTGTGGTTTTTGACTGATTTGATTAAGAGTGCAGTGTGCCTGCAGAAAGACTCCGCCCACACGCTCTTCTGATTGGCTGTGGTTTTTGACTGATTTGATTAAGAGTGCAGTGTGCCTGCAGAAAGACTCCGCCCACACGCTCTTCTGATTGGCTGTGGTTTTAGACTGATTTGATTAAGAGTGCAGTGTGCCTGCAGAAAGACTCCGCCCACACGCTCTTCTGATTGGCTGTGGTTTTTGACTGATTTGATTAAGAGTGCAGTGTGCCTGCAGAAAGACTCCGCCCACACGCTCTTCTGATTGGCTGTGGTTTTTGACTGATTTGATTAAGAGTGCAGTGTGCCTGCAGAAAGACTCCGCCCACACGCTCTTCTGATTGGCTGTGGTTTTTGACTGATTTGATTAAGAGTGCAGTGTGCCTGCAGAAAGACTCCGCCCACACGCTCTTCTGATTGGCTGTGGTTTTTGACTGATTTGATTAAGAGTGCAGTGTGCCTGCAGAAAGACTCCGCCCACACGCTCTTCTGATTGGCTGTGGTTTTTGACTGATTTGATTAAGAGTGCAGTGTGCCTGCAGAAAGACTCCGCCCACACGCTCTTCTGATTGGCTGTGGTTTTTGACTGATTTGATTAAGAGTGCAGTGTGCCTGCAGAAAGACTCCGCCCACACGCTCTTCTGATTGGCTGTGGTTTTTGACTGATTTGATTAAGAGTGCAGTGTGCCTGCAGAAAGACTCCGCCCACACGCTCTTCTGATTGGCTGTGGTTTTAGACTGATTTGATTAAGAGTGCAGTGTGCCTGCAGAAAGACTCCGCCCACACGCTCTTCTGATTGGCTGTGGTTTTTGACTGATTTGATTAAGAGTGCAGTGTGCCTGCAGAAAGACTCCGCCCACACGCTCTTCTGATTGGCTGTGGTTTTTGACTGATTTGATTAAGAGTGCAGTGTGCCTGCAGAAAGACTCCGCCCACACGCTCTTCTGATTGGCTGTGGTTTTAGACTGATTTGATTAAGAGTGCAGTGTGCCTGCAGAAAGACTCCGCCCACACGCTCTTCTGATTGGCTGTGGTTTTTGACTGATTTGATTAAGAGTGCAGTGTGCCTGCAGAAAGACTCCGCTCACACGCTCTTCTGATTGGCTGTGGTTTTAGACTGATTGGATTAAGAGTGCAGTGTGCCTGCAGAAAGACTCCGCTCACACGCTCTTCTGATTGGCTGTGGTTTTAGACTGATTGGATTAAGAGTGCAGTGTGCCTGCAGAAAGACTCTGCCCACACGCTCTTCTGATTGGCTGTGGTTTTTGACTGATTTGATTAAGAGTCCAGCACGCCTGCAGAGAGACTCCGCCCACACGCTCTTCTGATTGGCTGTGGTTTTTGACTGATTTGATTAAGAGTGCAGTGTGCCTGAAGAAAGACTCCGCCCACACGCTCTTCTGATTGGCTGTGGTTTTTGACTGATATGATTAAGAGTGCAGTGTGCCTGAAGAAAGACTCCGCCCACACGCTCTTCTGATTGGCTGTGGTTTTTGACTGATTTGATTAAGAGTGCAGTGTGCCTGAAGAAAGACTCCGCCCACACGCTCTTCTGATTGGCTGTGGTTTTTGACTGATTTGATTAAGAGTCCAGCACGCCTGCAGAGAGACTCCGCCCACACGCTCTTCTGATTGGCTGTGGTTTTTGACTGATTTGATTAAGAGTGCAGTGTGCCTGAAGAAAGACTCCGCCCACACGCTCTTCTGATTGGCTGTGGTTTTTGACTGATTTGATTAAGAGTGCAGTGTGCCTGCAGAGAGACTCCGCCCACACGCTCTTCTGATTGGCTGGACACTATGGTGTAGATGTGGCCGAGGCTACATCTGTATGCATTTCTCCGTTGCTTGGCTCCCAGGAGTTCTGGAGCTAGTAGCACCACGCTGGCCGAGCCGGATTTGGTTTGCGGACCTTATTTATCTCCTCGACGGCTCTCCCTTGGAGCTCCCGATCAGGAGAGGCCTTCTGTCTCAGGCGGGGGGCACAATCCTTCACCCCCACCCAGAGATTTGCAACCTGTGGGTTTGGCCTCTGAGGGAGCCCGACTCATAGATGCTGCTCTCTCAACCGAGACCATCTTACACTCCAGAGATCCAGCCACGAGAAAACCTTATGCCTTGAAGTGGAAAGTTTTCACTTCTTGGTGTCATGAGCGTCAGTGGGATCCGGTTAACTGCCGTCACCCTTGGCTGTCAGAGCTCACTCTACTAGGAGTATGGCGGCCTCCAAAGCCTTATTCTCAGGGGTTTCCCTACAGGAGGTGTGTGACGCGCGGGCTGGTCTTCCCCGCTCACATGAGTGAGGTTTTACAGCCTGGACCTGGACTGTTGCCAACAGTTTCTTATAACAGGCAATTGTAAGTACGGCGTTCGGACATTCTCGTTCCCTCGAAAGGGAACGTCTCAGGTTACGACTGTAACCCTAGTTGCCTGAGTAGGGAGCGAGACGCTGCGTCGCCCTGCCATACCTCCTGCATCCCTGTGATCGACTTGCTTCGGCTAATTCGAAGCTAACGCCGGTCAGACCGGATGTGCTTTTATCCTTTCCTGGTCGTGACGTCACCCGCCGTGACGCTCACTCTCGCCGTTGGACTAGTTGACACACGTGCTTCAGACGCAATCACGCAGGGGCGTTCCCAAAGCGTCATCGGCGCAGCGTCTCGTTCCCTACTCAGGCGACTAGCGTTACAGTCGTAACCTGAGACGTTCCCTTTCGAGGGAGCTCGCGCTGCGTCGATCATGTGAATATCACATGTCAGATCACTAAGAAAAGAAATAGCTTCTTCTACAAACCACATGAATTGGTACATTGTAAAAATATATATTTTTGAAATGATTTAAGTTGTTTAAAGATTATTGGAGTGTTTTACAAGAAAATTCTATTTTATTCTTTCTACTTCAAAATGTCATGTTTAATTCAATGTGATTATGTTTATTTTAGAAACGACGATGCACATTAATTGCCATGAGCACTTGCGTCCATCATGTAAATGTGCCAGATTTAACCATACGGGATCATTTTCATCTGCAGTCCCTGTAGGTTGACGGTAAGAAAAAGAAAAGAAATAAAGTTGTATAAATACATCTGCCTACAATTACTAAAACTATGGCATGACCATATGGTACATAAAACACTAAAGAATCATGTTCCAGTAAACATAGAAGCATATTGGCAGAAAAAATACAAACAAAATTACTTCAATTAATCAGACAGAAAACAAGCCATTTCTCCAGATTATAAGAACATAGGATCCAACGTGACACTTGCTGTTTGTTTATAATTATTTGTGAAATTTAAATCCTTCTCCAATTATCTTTTTCAGTGTATTATTGCTGAAGTTATAGCAAATATAATTAACAGTGATAATCAACGTCCCCAGGCAGGATAAGCACAAACACAGATCTAAACGCACCTGAGTGTGTCTTAACATGACAGTCCAGTGTGGATTTCACCGTGAAACTCTTCCCACACTCATCACACTTGTACGGTTTCTCGCCTGTGTGTATCCGGATGTGTCTGAAAGATGAAAAACAAAGTGTGTTCTGGGCTACTGTTAGGACAGATGTACGGTCAAACCAACATTTACTCGGACACCTGCAACATTTCTCACATTATCACAGTTTATTCGCTATCGTTTAGGAAATGGTGATAAATATGAGCAGAACTCAGAGGATATTTGACTGGTTTTGTCCGTCCTTCTGTTAGACTCTCACACATGAATTATGTTGAATATCTGTCAGCTGTTAAATTGAACTACACAATTAGATAATACCAGTTTAGCTCAACCAGTGACCAAGCAATGCTTCATGTTGTTCAGTCTGTGTGTAAAAAGAGCATTAGCAATTACAGAAAACACACTTCAGCAAAACATGATCAGCTCAAAGTGGAGGAGTAATATTTGCTCCCAGATGTGTATAAATGTCACTGGTAGTCTCTGTGTGAAGAGTTTTTGGGTGTAATATGTCACAGTTTACTTTATTTTGCTCTCCTCACTTACATACATGAACTATAGTGTCCTGCACACACTAGTGAAACATATCAACACTGGTATCTGGTGTTGATTGATGTTTGGTTTGCCTGTATAGACAGATGGAGATGTGCATGAGCCGTTACAGATGTTCTCAGAGGTTAGAGGTGATTATTACCTGACCAGGTCGCTGGGCTTCTTGAAGCTCTTGGGACAGTACTGGCAGCGGTTTGCGAACTTCGGCTCTATGTTGAGCTCCACACACTTGTCTTTAACCTCACTGATGCGGTCTCGTTCGGCAGCCGTCTGGGCCAGAACCTTCTCTGAGACACTGGGCTCGTCGCGCGGGTCCCTCTTGGCTAGCTCTGCTGTCTGCTCTTCTGTTAGCGTGATGATGCCGGTGCGGTTCCTCTTCGGCCCGGAGCGATCCGACCCGTCCTCCTCCTCCTCACCGGCCTCGTCACTCTCCAGAACTAACATCAGTCAAGTCAGCTTTATTTATACAGTGCTCTTTACAGTACAGAGTGTTTCAAAGCAGCTTTACAGAGATAACAGGAAAATACAGGTAAAACTCGAAAAATTTGAATATCGTGCAAAAGTTCATTTATTTCGGCAATTCAACTTAAAAGGTGAAACTAATATATTATATAGACTCATTACATGTAATGGTGGTGGTGATTGTGATGGTGGTGGTGGTGATTGTTGTGATGGTGGTGATTGTGATGGTGGTGGTGGTGATTGTTGTGATGGTGGTGATTGTGATGGTGGTGATTGTGATGGTGATTGTTGTGGTGATTGTGATGGTGGTGGTGGTGATTGTTGTGGTGATGGTGGTGATGGTGATGGTGGTGATTGTTGTGGTGATGGTGGTGGTGGTGGTGATTGTTGTGGTGATGGTGGTGATTGTGATGGTGGTGGTGGTGATTGTTGTGATGGTGGTGGTGATTGTTGTGATGGTGGTGGTGGTGATTGTTGTGATGGTGGTGATGGTGATTGTTGTTGTGATGGTGGTGATTGTGATGGTGGTGATGGTTATTGTTGTGGTGATGGTGGTGATTGTGATGGTGGTGATTGTTGTGGTGATGGTGGTGATTGTGATGGTGGTGATGGTGATTGTGATGTTTGTTGTGGTGATGGTGGTGGTGGTGGTGATTGTTGTGGTGATGGTGGTGGTGGTGGTGATTGTTGTGGTGATGGTGGTGATTGTGATGGTGGTGGTGGTGATTGTTGTGATGGTGGTGGTGATTGTTGTGATGGTGGTGGTGGTGATTGTTGTGGTGATGGTGGTGATTGTGATGGTGGTTATGGTGATTGTTGTTGTGATGGTGGTGATTGTGATGGTGGTTATGGTGATTGTTGTTGTGATGGTGGTGATGGTGGCGGTGATTGTGATGGTGGTGGTGGTGATTGTTGTGATGGTGGTGATGGTGGTGATTGTGATGGTGGTGATGGTGATTGTTGTGGTGATGGTGGTGATTGTGATGGTGGTGGTGGTGATTGTGATGGTGGTGGTGGTGGTGATTGTGATGGTGGTGGTGGTGATTGTGATGGTGGTTATGGTGATTGTTGTTGTGGTGGTGGTGATGGTGGTGATTGTGATGGTGGTGATGGTGATTGTTGTTGTGATGGTGGTGATTGTGATGGTGGTGATGGTGATTGTTGTGATGGTGGTGGTGGTGATTGTGATGGTGGTGATTGTTGTGATGGTGGTGGTGGTGGTGATTGTGATGGTGATTGTTGTGATGGTGGTGGTGGTGATTGTGATGGTGGTGATGGTGATTGTTGTGATGGTGGTGATGGTGATTGTTGTGGTGATGGTGGTGATTGTGATGGTGGTTATGGTGATTGTTGTTGTGATGGTGGTGATAGTGATGGTGGTGGTGGTGATTGTGATGGTGGTGGTGGTGATTGTGATGGTGGTGATGGTGATTGTTGTGGTGATGGTGGTGATTGTGATGGTGGTGGTGGTGATTGTGATGGTGGTGGTGGTGATTGTGATGGTGGTGGTGGTGATTGTGATGGTGGTGATGGTAATTGTTGTTGTGGTGGTGGTGATTGTGATGGTGGTGGTGGTGATGGTGATTGTTGTGATGGTGGTGGTGGTGATTGTGATGGTGGTGATAGTAATTGTTGTTGTGATGGTGGTAGTGGTGAGTGTGATGGTGGTGATGGTGATTGTTGTGATGGTGGTGGTGGTGATTGTGATGGTGGTGATGGTGATTGTTGTGATGGTGGTGGTGGTGATTGTGATGGTGGTGATGGTAATTGTTGTGATGGTGGTGGTGGTGATTGTGATGGTGGTGGTGGTGGTGATTGTGATGGTGGTGATGGTGATTGTTGTGATGGTGGTGGTGGTGATTGTGATGGTGGTGATGGTGATTGTTGTGATGGTGGTGGTGGTGATTGTGATGGTGGTGATGGTGATTGTTGTGATGGTGGTGGTGGTGATTGTGATGGTGGTGATGGTGGTGATTGTGATGGTGGTGGTGGTGATTGTGATGGTGGTGATGGTAATTGTTGTTGTGGTGGTGGTGATTGTGATGGTGGTGATGGTGATTGTTGTTGTGGTGGTGGTGGTGGTGATTGTGATGGTGGTGGTGATTGTGATGGTGGTGATGGTGATTGTTGTGATGGTGGTGGTGGTGATTGTGATGGTGGTGATGGTGATTGTTGTGATGGTGGTGATGGTAATTGTGATGGTGGTGATGGTGATTGTGATGGTGGTGATTGTGATGGTGGTGATGGTGATGGTGGTGATGGTAATTGTGATGGTGGTGATGGTGATTGTTGTTGTGATGGTGATGGTGATCGTTGTTGTGATGGTGGTGGTGGTGATTGTGATGGTGGTGATGGTGATTGTTGTGATGGTGGTGGTGGTGATTGTGATGGTGGTGATGGTGATTGTTGTGATGGTGGTGATGGTAATTGTGATGGTGGTGATGGTGATTGTTGTTGTGATGGTGATGGTGATCGTTGTTGTGATGGTGGTGGTGGTGATTGTGATGGTGGTGATGGTGATTGTTGTGATGGTGGTGGTGGTGATTGTGATGGTGGTGATGGGTGATGATGATTGTGATGGTGGTGGTGGTGATGGGTGATGGTGATTGATGGTGATTGTGATGAGGTCGGCGTGTCGTACCTTTGGGACCCACAGCATGATGGAGTTTGGTGTGTTTCCGGCGCAGGATGACGGTGCGGAAGCTTTCCTCACACACGGTGCACTTGAAGGGCTTGGTGTTCAGGTGGATGATCATGTGTCGGTTCAGACTGCCGTTAGTGGTGAAACACGTGTCACAGACGTTACACTTATAAGCCTTCACTCCTGAGAGAGCAAGAAGAGCCACAGAGGAGAAACTGCATGAGTTTCAGAACAGATTATAACCCGCGTGATGAGGTGTGTGTGTGCAGGGTCACCTGTGTGTGTGTTTAGGTGTGATTTGAGCACTCCGGCGGACACAAAGCTCCTCCCGCACAGGTTACAGCGGTACGGTTTCTCTCCGGTGTGAGAACGCACATGTTGCTTCAGGTGACTGGACTTCTTAAAGCTCTTATCACACATACTGCACCTGACAAACAAAACACATTTCACTGACTCAGCCAAACGCATGTGCAGGTTGCTGGTTTAAGTAGATATTGGGACACGAGTGAAGTGCAAAGATTTGTTTACAGAAGAAAAAATATAATTAGCAGCTAAATGTTGCATTAGAAATATGCAGGTTGCTGGTGCTCTTCGCGTGTCGGTCAAAAAGTACCAAATTTTTAATTTATTTTTATGAAACGAATGTACTATATTTTATTTTTATAATGTTTTTTATTTAATATTTTGTATTTTTATGTCATAAACTAGTTCTGCACGAACATACTTTTATACTGTGATATATACAATATAGCAAAAAATCTATCGATTGACACTATTACACATCATCATTTCGCCCAGTTTCTTCTAATCAATTGAGATTATTCAAAGAGAAAAGTGCAAAGGAAAAACAACTGCACAGTAGGGGTTTACTATAACAAAATACATTTCCAGTTTACAAGATTATTATATTTTATTACATTTCTTTCTAATAAAATGTTGTTTATATCTAATAATATTTATATGTATATCTTATTAACCATTTATTAACAACAAGGATTTACTTGTAAAATAAGGTACAAAGACACATACTCATTGTTTTCAAGAGTCCTCAAAGTGAGTAGAACAGCAGCTGGCTTCTAGTGTTTGATGCATGTGAACTTACTGATAAACTCTCTTGTTGATTTCCTCCTCATCCTGGAAGTCTTGTGTCTGTATAGACAGCTGCAGCTCTCCTTGACTGGCCTCCTGCAATAAACCACTCGTCTACACACACACACAGACACACACACACACACACACACACACACACACACACACACACACTTAAAATACAGACTAACATCATTTAATTTCACTTTCATTTCATGCATCTGTGTTCTGTACAAATCTAATATAAAAGTTACAGCACCCTGCAGAGGTTTGATGACTGTAAACTATACTCTGACACAGCACCCTCCAGAGGTTTGATGACTGTAAACTATACTCTGACACAGCACCCTCCAGAGGTCTGAAGACTGTAAACTATACTCTGACACAGCACCCTCCAGAGGTCTGATGACTGTAAACTATACTCTGACACAGCACCCTCCAGAGGTTTGATGACTGTAAACTATACTCTGACACAGCACCCTCCAGAGGTCTGATGACTGTAAACTATACTCTGACACAGCACCCTCCAGAGGTCTGATGACTGTAAACTATACTCTGACACAGCACCCTCCAGAGGTTTGATGACTGTAAACTATACTCTGACACAGCACCCTCCAGAGGTCTGAAGACTGTAAACTATACTCTGACACAGCACCCTCCAGAGGTCTGATGACTGTAAACTATACTCTGACACAGCACCCTCCAGAGGTTTGATGACTGTAAACTATACTCTGACACAGCACCCTCCAGAGGTCTGATGACTGTAAACTATACTCTGACACAGCACCCTCCAGAGGTTTGATGACTGTAAACTATACTCTGACACAGCACCCTCCAGAGGTTTGATGACTGTAAACTATACTCTGACACAGCACCCTCCAGAGGTCTGATGACTGTAAACTATACTCTGACACAGCACCCTCCAGAGGTCTGAAGACTGTAAACTATACTCTGACACAGCACCCTCCAGAGGTTTGATGACTGTAAACTATACTCTGACACAGCACCCTCCAGAGGTCTGATGACTGTAAACTATACTCTGACACAGCACCCTCCAGAGGTCTGATGACTGTAAACTATACTCTGACACAGCACCCTCCAGAGGTTTGATGACTGTAAACTATACTCTGACACAGCACCCTCCAGAGGTCTGATGACTGTAAACTATACTCTGACACAGCACCCTCCAGAGGTCTGATGACTGTAAACTATACTCTGACACAGCACCCTCCAGAGGTCTGAAGACTGTAAACTATACTCTGACACAGCACCCTCCAGAGGTTTGAAGACTGTAAACTATACTCTGACACAGCACCCTCCAGAGGTCTGAAGACTGTAAACTATACTCTGACACAGCACCCTCCAGAGGTCTGATGACTGTAAACTATACTCTGACACAGCACCCTCCAGAGGTCTGATGACTGTAAACTATACTCTGACACAGCACCCTCCAGAGGTTTGATGACTGTAAACTATACTCTGACACAGCACCCTCCAGAGGTTTGAAGACTGTAAACTATACTCTGACACAGCACCCTCCAGAGGTTTGATGACTGTAAACTATACTCTGACACAGCACCCTCCAGAGGTCTGATGACTGTAAACTATACTCTGACACAGCACCCTCCAGAGGTCTGATGACTGTAAACTATACTCTGACACAGCACCCTCCAGAGGTTTGATGACTGTAAACTATACTCTGACACAGCACCCTCCAGAGGTCTGAAGACTGTAAACTATACTCTGACACAGCACCCTCCAGAGGTCTGATGACTGTAAACTATACTCTGACACAGCACCCTCCAGAGGTTTGATGACTGTAAACTATACTCTGACACAGCACCCTCCAGAGGTCTGATGACTGTAAACTATACTCTGACACAGCACCCTCCAGAGGTTTGATGACTGTAAACTATACTCTGACACAGCACCCTCCAGAGGTTTGATGACTGTAAACTATACTCTGACACAGCACCCTCCAGAGGTTTGATGACTGTAAACTATACTCTGACACAGCACCCTCCAGAGGTCTGATGACTGTAAACTATACTCTGACACAGCACCCTCCAGAGGTTTGATGACTGTAAACTATACTCTGACACAGCACCCTCCAGAGGTCTGATGACTGTAAACTATACTCTGACACAGCACCCTCCAGAGGTTTGATGACTGTAAACTATACTCTGACACAGCACCCTCCAGAGGTTTGATGACTGTAAACTATACTCTGACACAGCACCCTCCAGAGGTCTGATGACTGTAAACTATACTCTGACACAGCACCCTCCAGAGGTTTGATGACTGTAAACTATACTCTGACACAGCACCCTCCAGAGGTTTGATGACTGTAAACTATACTCTGACACAGCACCCTCCAGAGGTCTGATGACTGCAAACTATACTCTGACACAGCACCCTCCAGAGGTCTGATGACTGTAAACTATACTCTGACACAGCACCCTCCAGAGGTCTGATGACTGTAAACTATACTCTGACACAGCACCCTCCAGAGGTTTGATGACTGTAAACTATACTCTGACACAGCACCCTCCAGAGGTCTGAAGACTGTAAACTATACTCTGACACAGCACCCTCCAGAGGTCTGATGACTGTAAACTATACTCTGACACAGCACCCTCCAGAGGTCTGAAGACTGTAAACTATACTCTGACACAGCACCCTCCAGAGGTCTGATGACTGTAAACTATACTCTGACACAGCACCCTCCAGAGGTCTGATGACTGTAAACTATACTCTGACACAGCACCCTCCAGAGGTTTGATGACTGTAAACTATACTCTGACACAGCACCCTCCAGAGGTTTGATGACTGTAAACTATACTCTGACACAGCACCCTCCAGAGGTCTGATGACTGTAAACTATACTCTGACACAGCACCCTCCAGAGGTCTGATGACTGTAAACTATACTCTGACACAGCACCCTCCAGAGGTTTGATGACTGTAAACTATACTCTGACACAGCACCCTCCAGAGGTCTGATGACTGTAAACTATACTCTGACACAGCACCCTCCAGAGGTCTGATGACTGTAAACTATACTCTGACACAGCACCCTCCAGAGGTCTGATGACTGTAAACTATACTCTGACACAGCACCCTCCAGAGGTCTGATGACTGTAAACTATACTCTGACACAGCACCCTCCAGAGGTTTGATGACTGTAAACTATACTCTGACACAGCACCCTCCAGAGGTCTGAAGACTGTAAACTATACTCTGACACAGCAGCCTCCAGAGGTCTGATGACTGTAAACTATACTCTGACACAGCACCCTCCAGAGGTCTGATGACTGTAAACTATACTCTGACACAGCAGCCTCCAGAGGTCTGATGACTGTAAACTATACTCTGACACAGCACCCTCCAGAGGTCTGATGACTGTAAACTATACTCTGACACAGCACCCTCCAGAGGTCTGATGACTGTAAACTATACTCTGACACAGCACCCTCCAGAGGTTTGATGACTGTAAACTATACTCTGACACAGCACCCTCCAGAGGTCTGATGACTGTAAACTATACTCTGACACAGCACCCTCCAGAGGTCTGATGACTGTAAACTATACTCTGACACAGCACCCTCCAGAGGTCTGATGACTGTAAACTATACTCTGACACAGCACCCTCCAGAGGTCTGATGACTGTAAACTATACTCTGACACAGCACCCTCCAGAGGTCTGATGACTGTAAACTATACTCTGACACAGCACCCTCCAGAGGTCTGAAGACTGTAAACTATACTCTGACACAGCACCCTCCAGAGGTTTGATGACTGTAAACTATACTCTGACACAGCACCCTCCAGAGGTTTGATGACTGTAAACTATACTCTGACACAGCACCCTCCAGAGGTCTGATGACTGTAAACTATACTCTGACACAGCACCCTCCAGAGGTCTGATGACTGTAAACTATACTCTGACACAGCACCCTCCAGAGGTCTGATGACTGTAAACTATACTCTGACACAGCACCCTCCAGAGGTCTGATGACTGTAAACTATACTCTGACACAGCACCCTCCAAAGGTTTGATGACTGTAAACTATACTCTGACACAGCACCCTCCAGAGGTTTGATGACTGTAAACTATACTCTGACACAGCACCCTCCAGAGGTCTGATGACTGTAAACTATACTCTGACACAGCACCCTCCAGAGGTCTGATGACTGTAAACTATACTCTGACACAGCACCCTCCAGAGGTCTGATGACTGTAAACTATACTCTGACACAGCACCCTCCAGAGGTTTGATGACTGTAAACTATACTCTGACACAGCACCCTCCAGAGGTCTGATGACTGTAAACTATACTCTGACACAGCACCCTCCAGAGGTCTGATGACTGTAAACTATACTCTGACACAGCACCCTCCAGAGGTCTGAAGACTGTAAACTATACTCTGACACAGCACCCTCCAGAGGTTTGATGACTGTAAACTATACTCTGACACAGCACCCTCCAGAGGTCTGATGACTGTAAACTATACTCTGACACAGCACCCTCCAGAGGTTTGATGACTGTAAACTATACTCTGACACAGCACCCTCCAGAGGTCTGATGACTGTAAACTATACTCTGACACAGCACCCTCCAGAGGTTTGATGACTGTAAACTATACTCTGACACAGCACCCTCCAGAGGTCTGAAGACTGTAAACTATACTCTGACACAGCACCCTCCAGAGGTTTGATGACTGTAAACTATACTCTGACACAGCACCCTCCAGAGGTTTGATGACTGTAAACTATACTCTGACACAGCACCCTCCAGAGGTTTGATGACTGTAAACTATACTCTGACACAGCACCCTCCAGAGGTCTGAAGACTGTAAACTATACTCTGACACAGCACCCTCCAGAGGTTTGATGACTGTAAACTATACTCTGACACAGCACCCTCCAGAGGTCTGATGACTGTAAACTATACTCTGACACAGCACCCTCCAGAGGTTTGATGACTGTAAACTATACTCTGACACAGCACCCTCCAGAGGTCTGATGACTGTAAACTATACTCTGACACAGCACCCTCCAGAGGTTTGATGACTGTAAACTATACTCTGACACAGCACCCTCCAGAGGTCTGA